TTGTTTTTTTTTTCATAAATTCAATGTCATTATTACTTAATTTGATATTTATTTTTGATATCGCTAAAAAAAAACAAAAAAACTTTGTTATGAGTGAAAACATAACGTCAACGAAATTAAAGTTTAATTTTCTCAAGTTTAACCATGATAAAAAATTAGCTTTTGCTTTAAGGTAAAAAAAAAAAAAAAAAAAAAGTTATATATATTCCTATTTATATAGTTTAAAGCGTATTAAACCAAACTAAAGGAAAGGCTACTTATGAATGTTTTTAAATTTAATATAAAGTTTTAAAGTAATAAAACTTGACCGGGCGATTTTACGCAAAGTTTTTTTTTACCATAAACCATGCTGCTCACTGCTACTAGTTTTCACTTTTCAGTCATTTATTTTATTTACCCAGTTGAGAAGGAAGTCCTTTTTTGCACATGGCCAGAAGTGATGTATCGGAGGCATAGTCTCAAAAGATTGCGAAAAGCCCTCTCCCCCCTTCCCAATCTCCTTGCCAGGAGTTTTAGGAACAAAAACGATCTCTTCTTTTATGTCTGGAGGGGTAGGTTTTTTTTGTTTGTTTTTTTATGGCTGACCCTTTGGGAGAGATCCAAGCAACAGCTTAACATTTTTAACAAGTACCAGAAATTTAAATTTAAATACCAACTTCAAATTGAATTTTTTAGTTTAATGGCACTATGCAACTACTGCTATTTTTTTGTTTTATTAAAAACAGTTTTATTGTTGATAAACGATTAATATTAATAATGTGCAAAACTGCAAACCTGACAGTATTCTTCAAACAAAACCATACCCCCCCACCACCACCATCTTTTTTAAAAATTAAGAAGTGGATTCTCAAACTGAAGGCAACTCTCTAAAATTTTTGGCTTTAATTAATTGTGTGTATTTGGGCAGGGTGCGTGGATAAAAGCTGTAATTTAAAGTATAATTAATTTAGCTTGAAAATTTACTTCTAAATTGAAGTAGTAAGAGAAATATCTGTTAAAGATATTTAATCTACCATTTCAGATACTACTTAATTCCTAGCCATGCCCCAGAAGTGCTGTGTTTGCTTGCAAAACAAATTACAGAAGCCAGCAAGACAAAACTATGTGTGGTGAGATTAATAAAATACCAGTTTATCGTTTTCCAAAAAACAAAGACGAAAGAGAGCAATGGATAAAATCAGTTTCAAATGCCAATCTAAATGTTACTAACATTACTGTTATTTGTCAACAACATTGGCCTTCAAATTTTGATACCATAAAAGTTAATGGAAAAATATGTCCAAAAAATCCACCATCTGTATGACCAGGCGTGCCAAGTAGTCAAATACCAACACCCTCAGCTGTTCAAAGGAATATAAAAAAAACCCTCCAGTACTGTTAGAAATCAAATTGCTGATGAACTTAATGCTTTTTTAGAATTAGATAAAATTAATTATACAAATTTGAAAGAAAGTCTGCTTAACAACAAAAAAGACTTTATATGTCCAGTTGTAGCATTTTTGGATGAAAATATTTTAACTGTTCAATCAAGATCTATTGATGGTATTCCTCTCTTTATGTTGAAAATTTATAACAATTTGCACTTTGAAACATTTCATTACGGAGTTAAGTGTTATATTAGCAACCTGTCTAAAAATCATATAAATACAGTTGATACTTGGTCAAAACTGGAAGAAATCATCCGATATTTAAATTCTATGGCTTTTGATCACAAGAAAAATATCCTGAGTCAACAATTTTTAGCAATGGCTCCCAAAATGGTTGGAATAAAATACAGCTCAGATATAGTTGTGCATGCTTTTGGGTACTATGCAAGATCATGGACATTGTATAATGAATTAAGACATGATTTTCAATTACCTTCATTAACAACATTAGGAAGGATGACATCAAAAGTTTCAAAACTTAAAAAATCTTTTTTGTTATCTATATTTAATACTCTTAATACCAGTCAAAAAGGGTGCATAATTCTCCATGACGAAGTATATATCAAAAAGATGTTGCTATATTATGGCAAACAACTATTCGGTAAATCAGTTGACAATCCATCTGTACTTGCTCAAACAGTACTTGGTATAATGTTCATGTCTCAATGGGGATCCAAATTTTCTTAGAAAATTGATTCCAATTTCAAAATTAACATCCACCTTTTTATTTGAACAAATTGAGTTAACAGTCCAAGCCATCACATCTATACCAGCTGATGTAAAGGCTATTATATGTGATGGCAACCGTGTAAATCAAGCTTTTTTTTAAATTATATCCTATGAAATAAGTGCAGGTAAGAATGATACTGCCCTCTTCATAAACAAGGTTTTGACATGGTGGAAAATTTTTAATGCCTTCAAATTGATAAATTACATAATGATCCTCTACAAGCTGAAATCAGATCTCCAAATGACACTAGACTTGATTTTATCATTGAATTTGGTAAAATGGCTCTTAATATGGCTGGCACTCAAGGCAATTGTAAAAAAACAATTATCCCAAAACACTGCTACTGCCATACATCATATTTGCAATGGAATTGTTAGTCTATGTCGACACCTTTTAGCTACAAGCCATAAATATGTACGACTCGGGCAATTTTCAACTGATCCATTAGAAAAAGAATTTGGTAAACTTCGCCAAGGATCAGGTGGCACCTATTTTATAAATGTTCAACAATGTATTGAAAAGCTGCATATTAAGCAGACATCTTTACTTTTAAATCAAAATGTAAATATTAAATGAATTTGATGTTAATCCAAGTCACCAATGTACATCTTGTGATTATAAACTTTGTGAGGAAGGTTCAGAAATATTTGACAATCTGGAAAATTTAGAACCATCTTTTTCCAATGAAATAAAAATGGCTCTTGTGTACATAGCTGGATATATTACAAGAAATGATAATCAACCCAGTGAATGTGAAACCCATTTTTATTATGAAAAGTATGGAAAATATACCAATTTAATTGACCGTGGAAAACTAAAAGTTCCTTCTGACCACACTTGTCAATAGTTATTTTTTTGTTTCATCCTTTTCCATACAATAAAGGAAAAGGTTTGCTATAAATCATTAAGTAACATTTTTATGCTTATTACCGAGTTTCATTTTTTTAACATGGAGAAAAATCATGCTTCTATTTTTGCAAATATAGTTTTGAAAGATTTTTGCATGGCACACCTAGATCAGAAAAAGAACCAGCTCTAAAAGTTTTGAAACTTTCCTAGAATGATTTTGTTTTATTTGTCTATATTTCTGCAATGATTGATTGTTATATACACACTTCGGCTGATGTCTTCCAGCCTTCTTGGGTTCTGTTTGTCAAACCCAGTAACTGTAATGTAAATTTAAACCAAAGTCTTTATTCACTCACAGGGAATAGATTGAATAAAGGATTCAGTGACACCTGTAAATAATATAAATTTCTGATTCAATTTATCTTTTACCAGAAATCATAATTACCTCTTTGTGTTGTTTAAAAATTATCAGTGTTCATAGCAAAAATATATATTTTCATTTATTTATCTTTCAACACATCCTATTATCCTCAGAATAACATTTTTATTCACACCTAAGTATTTCATAAAGTGGTTGACTTCATTTTCTTCTAAAATTTCTGAAAATCCTACATTTTTTAATAGGCCTCCAGTTCTGGCTCTCACGCCATGACTTGGCCTGGAGTATAGAATGCCATGGTAATATCCTAAGAAGAAATGTAAAAATAGCATATGAGGGTTAAAATTTAAGCAGAAAATTAAAACCTGGTTTGGCAAATTCAACTCTGCCTTCAAGCATGAAATGAACCCTGGACCAGAAATTGGAAGAAAGAAATGAAGTTATATGTTCATAGCTGACAAAGTAAGATTAATGTATTTTCAAGTACAGATATCAGCAGGGTTGGGGGGGAGATACAAAGTACCTTTTACTCCAGAACAGAGAGCATGCTGAAAAGTGGGACTTTGATATGCTTTTTTGTTTTTTCTTTATGAACTCTTTTGGATGGTCACAGTTTTGTTTGAAAGGTTTTAATATAAGATTTGAAAACTGGTAATAGTGAAATTAATTCAAAGCTGAGGACTAAAGAGAAACCAGATGTTTTTTTTTTTTTTTTTTTGCAGGAATAATCTTCAACTTTTATAATTCATTATTTTGGATGGTGGAGATCCATCTTGTTAATTTACAGAAAAATAGAGATAATAAAATGTGACCTATGAGGATTGTAAATTGCCATTTCTTGGGGCCTGGCTAGGTAAAGTGTCATTCTTAATTATTGTTACCAGGAAAGATTTCCTCCATATAAGACATCAGTCATTTTGTATGTGGGCCTTAGAATAACTCAACCACATAGAACCTCCTGTTCAAACAAAGCCAGATAGTGCTTTTCAACATATAACTTCCTGATTCTCAACATATACATCTGTTTTGTATCCTAATGTAAACAAAGACAATTTTTTCAGGAAATGAATTAAATCCAAAAGATTTTAATTTATTTGTTTAATAGTTATTTTAAATGGATACCCATTTGAGTAGATGCTCTTTCTATTTATTTATTAAACAGTATATTTATTTACATCTGCTGTACAATGAAAGTTACATTTCTGTGTGTGTGCGCATGCGTGTGTGAATAAGAAAACCACAAAAACAAAAAACAAAAAGGAAAAAAAAATGTCAGTTATGTGCCATGTGTGATACACACTTAGGTGATCATCTATCTTTTGATACATGACTGATGAGGCAGATTTTTTTCTCCCGACAGTAGGTTGCCATTTCTTTCTACAGCAGACCAGTTGCCATCCAAGGCTATAGAACCTGGTCTGTCCTGTTATTTACCCACAACTGAGGAGAGAAGAGGATTCATACATTTCCCAAGGGTATTAGAACTGGAATTCAAACTCAGCTCTCTGATTCCTCAATCCAAGCCAATAACCATTACTCTACTGTGCCTCCAAAGAAAAAAAAAAAAAAAAAAAAAAAAAAAAAAATGAAAAAAGTCAAAAATCAAAGAACTTACCTTTTTCATCAGGGAAAGCATCTGATAAAAAAAAAAAAAAAATATATATATATATATATAATAGAATCAGAAATATAAGCATTGATTTACATTTATGTATGCAAACTTATTCAAATTTAAACTTATTGAAAATTAAATTAAGCATTCATTTATTTCATTTAATTCAGTTGTGAATTGATTGAGGAAAAAATGTATATTTACTTTTACTGAAGTTTATAATAAATGCTTATATAGATATTGAATCAGCAGGTGGGTGTGCATACACATTTATATTTAAATTTTTACATGCATCTGAAAAAAAAAATATATATAGATAAAAGAAAAGAGAAATGGAAAATGTTTCACAATGCCAGGCATTGTCAGTGCAAGAGAAATAAATGTGGAACAGCATAATCTAACTGTGAAAATGTAAGAATGCCGATAATTTGAAGAAAGAAAAAAAGGCTTAAGTTAAATTGAAAGTGAACACAAAGGCGAAGATAGTGGATAGATAGGACATGCTGAAAGCAGAAGAAAATATACTTTTATTTTTTTTTTTTAAATATATTTTCTTCAGTGAGCGAAATAAAGGGTTAAGTTCGACATTCCAACCACCTGAAGAAGGCCAAAGCATACAATGGCTGAAACATTGTAATAAATATGGTGTCAAAGATGAGTACAATAATCCAAATAATGTAAATAGTGTACATAATACCTCATTTCAGAAATATAGACAGATACTGAAAGGCCGAAACTTTGTAATAAATATGGCAACAAAGATGAGGACAATAGTCCAAATAATGTAAATAATGTACATAATACCTCATCTGAGAAATATGGACAGATACTGCCACTTCATGCCACATGCTCTCTGCATGCCCGCAATTATTGCAGATATACACATGGCATCATAACTAAGTGCTGGAAGTGGTCATGGACTTAGTCAGTGAACAGTGTGAAGCAGCCAACAAACAGCCTGTAACAGCCAGAGAACTTAAGATATGTTTTCACAAGGAAAGTGAACACCCTGTGTGGAATACCTGAATAACCCCCAACATGACACTGTTGAGAGGGACCCATGATTGAAGGGTGTTAGTTGGTCTTAGAACATCTCTGCAATTTCAGGTACACATCATTCAGATAGATGCACACTCTGATATTGTAGTGTGATCTGATTCAAGGAAGTATGTCCTCCTAGTAGAATTAACAGTACAATGGGAGGATAACAGAAAAGTTGCTAAGAGGGGGGGAAAAAAAAGAAAAAAAAAAACACTACCAGCTTAAGAGAAGGAAAAACTGAATTTCAAACTGGCCTCAGCTCTGTCAGGCTATGGGTCTCCCTTCTCATTAGTTAACATACTTAAGTAGCCTCCCCTCTCTCAAAATCAGTTCTTGGAATAGTAATGATTTTTTCAAGATTACATAGGTTTTCTTCCATATGTATTGTACACTTGAGAAAAAAACATTGAATGGACTTGCCTATACATGGAGTTATAACAGTAGTCATATAAAATCATCATTCCAAACAGCTTATACAATGATAACTTTTCAAGATTACAGAAGATATGTTCAATATATATTTAACACATATAGAAGGAAACAACTCTTGGAATGACAAGCTTTTCTGTCAAGATTTTACAAGGTATGGACAGTACACTGAAAGGTGGTGGTAGAATAAACTTACCAATACAGTGTCATTACATCTAAATTTAAAATCACAGAAGATAGATTGAACACTTAAATATCAACATTGCAAATAATGATTTTTCTCAATATTATATAAGGTATAATCCATATGTATGGTACACTTGAAGTACAATGTATTTACAAATGTATTCTAGTTACAACAGTAATATGAAAATAATGTCATTCTAAATGACTCTCCAAAATGATTTTTTTTCCTCTATATCACACAAGATATCTATATGTATGATACACATGAAAAGCATATAGAATGAACTGGTCAATATATTTTATTTACAACAGTAAACATTATAAAAAAGCTTAGTCTAAACACCTTTTGGAATGGTAACTCCAAGATTACAAAAGTTCCATATGGATTGAACACAAAGAACAAACTCTTGGCAAGTGATTTTTTTTTAAATTATGCAAATTATAATCTATATGGATGGTAGACTTGAAGGACATGACAATGTTTTTATTACAATTTTCAGCAATATCAAGATAAAGTCATTAGTATTAACCTCTGCTAGACTGATAACTAAGGTATGTCCCATATCTACTGACCATGTAAAGTAGGATATAAACAACTTTTTGAATAAAAATGATTTTTTTTCTTTTCCAAAATTACATATCTTCCATATGGTTAGTACACTTGCAAAAAACAAAAAAAAACAGAATAATTTAGTCACAACAGAATGCAATATAAAAATAAATGAATTTGTCTTAAGACTTCTTGTAATGATGAGGAATCATTTCCTGATCAGATGGTATAGTCCATATGGATTGTTTAACTGAAGGCAGTTGTATGAAATGTCCTAAATAATCCAATAACAATAAAAAGTAATACAGAAAATATATTAGTCTAAACACTTCTTGGAATTATTGCTAATCTTTTTCAATATTCATCTATATAGATTTAACATCAGAGTTGTGATAAACCAGTGTTTCTAAAGATACAAAATAGGCCCAGAGTTGCATGGAGACATAGCTCTTGAAGCTTGTAACATCTGGGTTTTTCCCCTTTAACAACAGAATAGCTTGACATGCCCAGATACAGGCCTCTCTGCAATTTGTGTGGATCCAGATTTTTGTCAACTGTCATGTCAAGACAGTCCCCTTGGTACATTTTGTTCTGGAAGTTGTGTGCTGCCTACTGTGCTGTGGTTTCTGAGACAGTGACCCCCCCACATCATTACTCAGTTTTATTTTGTTTTCTACAATCTCTTTCCCTTTTCTGTCATGTAACTCTTAAGAGAACAATCTGTTAAGTGTTTCCCTTCAACCTCAACAATCTTGTAGTCACAACAGCAAATACTCTAAAAAGAAGAAAAATCAATAATCTAAATGGAATGATAACTACTTTTAAAATTAGTATCTTCCATATGGATTATTTTTAATACTTATTCACTGTTTTTCAGTTATTTAAATCTGAAACATTTTTGATTGTAAAAATATTTTTTTCTGCAAGTCAATATTGCATTACCCATTTATGAGAATAACCATGATTTTTCAAGATACTAGTCCTACTATTTAACCCTTATCTGGGAGGAAGTGGTAGATTCATAACTTTCCTAATAAGTGAATGCAATGGTCCCAACTGTAATTTGAACAGCTCTCCAATTTCTCATTGAAATGCTATCCACACATCTGCCATACACCTAAAGATGGCTGTAGAATAAATAAGCCAAAATGTTGTAGTCATAACAAAACATGATATAAAAATATGTCTATTAGGCTAATGATCTCTCAGAAGGATAAGGACTTTTCAAGGTTACAGATATTAGCTATCAAGATATTCCATTTGGATTGTAAACATGGAGAAAGAATTAGTCAAGAATATTTCATGAAACAATATTAAAAAAAAAAAATCATCAAATAAATAAATGCAATTTATCTCTATTGGTCATAGTCACAAACATTAACCATTGCCATTAAATAAAGTTTACAACTTAAATGAATATTGCAGGAATTCTTCACTAAAGCTAGTTGGTAGAAGCTTCTTAGACATTTTGGTTTTATTATTATATATTTATACTTAATTTTACATATCTGTAAACTACACCACAAGTTTAACAAGTTTTTCCAGCCCCATTTGTGTCAAACATTGATTCATTTTCATCATTAGTGACAAATTTGTGCAAGAACATATTTTTGTGTCATAACAGTAAATAAATTGCTGCAGAAAGATAATCTAATTTGTTTCTGTTCCATGTGGCACCCACGTATCACATTGGGAAATGATCCCAAATCTCTTCAAATGGTAAAAGGCTGTTGATATCAATTTCAAAACTTAATCAAAATTGTGATTAATCAGTCAGGTTAAGGAAAGAAAAGGAAAATCAGTCTGATGTAATCTATCAAATTACTGATTGATCATCCAAGAGCTGAAGAATGTCATGTGTCAACAAAGCCTGTCACAACTGAATGATGTAAGGTTTCAGTTTAGAACATGCCAGAAATGGATGCCAAAATAAACATCAGTGCGAATTTACAGTTGTTTAATATTAACAATGAAAATCAGGCACAAATTTTTGCCATCTACTATACATGATAAAAGTGAAATAATTTTTAGATATGCCTCCCTTTAACCCCTACTAGTTAGCGTGAGGGGACAGGAGAAAGTATATAAATTTTTAAATTAAAGTTTCTGATTAACAGTTATGAAACTTTTTGGCTGTATTGAAAATTAAATGGTGCTAAAATCTTGCTATTAACTCAATAAGTTGATTAATCAGTCTGGTTATGGAAAGAAAAGACTAAGTCAATGTATGAAGTTAATGCAAATTTGAAAAATAACTGAAAATAAAAAGAAATATTGTTTATAATTATATTTTGTTTAGAACTGACATGTTTTATTTAAGAAAATAAAATATTTTGCATTCATAAATATACAACAAGGAGGTTATGAAAGATAACAGCATGAAGGCAGTTATGAAATACAAAAACCAATAAAATCCATCTTTGAAATTTTTTTTTTTTTTTAAATGTCATCTTAAAGCTTATTTAATAGCAGGTATTTTGTCTTTATTTTTAAAGTTGAGCTAATTTAAAATTTTGGTATTGTTTTTCTGCATGCAAGTTTATTTTTCTCAAGATGAATAAAATGGCTTCTATATTGGTATTATTAAACAAATCTTTAACATTGTCTTGTTGTATAGTTTTCTCATAAATGCAAAAACTATACATTCTGTTAGAAGCTGTTTTACAGTATAAGAATTTTGTCAAGCTCTGTATACCAGTTGGTTATGTTGAGTGAAGATGTAGAAATGTGTGATTTTTTTTGCATGTCCAATACACTGTCTGGACAAAATTACATGTTTTTCTGGACCCTGGTTTCCATATAAAAATAAAGAACATAC